GTCCCGTTCTGATCAATTGTGTACGATCTCCTACCGTATTAAATGCCATCACTCTCGAGTATCATCGCAACACTGCAGCCCGGGCCGACTGTGTAATGCCACTTGTCATAAAATCAATTGGGATATATAGACATCGATCATACTGAGTGGTCTATGTGTAAAATATAGATTCGGGGAAAATGGCACGAGAGAATGTTTGATTGAAGGTGTTATATAATGTTCTCTGGTTTGTATTCATCTTTTTTAAAAACAAATATGCTCTGTTATTTTCTTGTGTTTCTAATTTATAAGAAGATCTGTTTTTATATATGAATTAACCTGATCGTAATAGTATAGTTCTTGAACATCTGAGAGTAAAGAGAAATTTGAGAATATTCAAGTTTATAACGTCCTTACAGCGTTTAAAAGTTCCGAGATATCGGGTCGAGGAACACGTTGATTGGCCTCCTACACAAACACCTATTTACTAGTACTTGGTATGTGTAATAAGAGCACGTGGATCCAACGTGACGATGTAAAATACCAGAAGAGCACGTGGCGATGTAAAATACTAGATGATCACGTGAAAATGTAAAATGCGTTAAGAACACGTGACTTTTTAAAACGTTAGAAGATCCCGTACCGATGTAAATGTGATAAAAACACGTGACGATTTAAAATGCTAGAGGTTACACGTGACGATGTAAAATGTTATAAGATCACGTGACGATGTAAGTGTTATAAAACTACATGACGATGTCAGTGTTACAACATCACGTGACGGTGTATTATAAGATCACGTGACGATGTAAATGTTATAAGATCACGTGACGGTGTCAGTGTAATAAGATCACGTGACATAAGATCACTTTGCAATGTAAATGTTATAAAATCACGAGACGGTGTATTATAAGATCACGTGACGACGTAAATGGTATATGATCACGTGACGATGTCAGTGTAATAAGATCACGTGACATAAGATCACTGTGCAATGTAAATGTTATAATATCACGTGACGGTGTATTATAAGATCACGTGACGATGTAAATGTTATAAGATCACGTGACGATGTCAGTGTAATAAGATCACGAGACATAAGACCACGTTACTGTGTGTTATAAGATCACGTGACGATGTTAGTGTAATAAGAGCACGTGACATAAGATCACGTGACGATGTCAGTGTAATAAGATCACGTCGTAGCTACTACTTTTTTCCTCGTGTGAATATGATTTAGTCTTCTAATTTGTTTATTTTTCAATTTCTTTTAAATAAAGTTGAATATTGACGTATTGACGATAATCCGTAATTCAATAGATAAATGTTATACGCATAAACTGTACTACGTCTCAAAAAAATCCGCTTTTTATTGTTTTAAGTCTCGTTTTGATCTTAACATTTTTTTAACACTTTACGGATTAAAAAAATGATTTCAATTAATTTCTTAATTCTTTTGAACATATTACCTTTACCGTTATATCATATTCCTTTCGACAATTTTGGACAAGAAGGCTACAGGCTATAACTTTAGATGAAGGTAAGTATTGACCTAACTGTGGATCAGGTAAACATTGTGTCTAGGCGACGATTGATTTCTACCATCACACATTATGTATAATGTATGGGGACTGTTGTTCAGTTGAATTAACGTTGAAAATATTATCAATACACGCAAAATGCAATATTGTATGTGAATATTGAGAAAATAATTGAATACAATATAATGTTTTGTAATATATTTATACAAAAACGATTAATATCAAAAAATCTTTATATCGTGTTTTCTGTTGTAGATAATTCGTCCTTCAGTGGACTGTGAATTTAACAGGTAAGGCCAGAGTCGTAAGTGATATCAAAATTAAAATTAAACCGTAATAAAAGTGGGTGAACAAAAGTGTACAGAAAATTAAAATTGATTTTAAAAGTATGCAAAAGGATATGATGGCCATTTCTCAACAGGAGATGGTTATGTGGTTAAACAGTCCCCGAATTTCATATCATATAACCCATGGATCATTTTTCATAACGTCGGAACATTTAATATTATTACAAATAGTCTATATAAATTATAATTAGTTATTTTTGACTGTTTCTGGCCTTTAGTCCAATTTCGGCTGTAGGGGTGAAACAGTCAAAACTGTTTTCCCGGTCAGAGCGAACTGTTACCCGGCGCGAATTCGATGCGCAGAAATCCCCCTCGAGAGCTCCGTTCAAGCGTTTCGGTGACCGCGACTGAGTGTTGAAGCAATGGCAACATTGCATGCAGCATTGATACTAATTTTTATTTGGTAATAAAACAATTGTTTCATGGTTATTTTGGGAACAGTCAAAACTATCATCCCTCGGTAGGGGGAATCCCTGTGGAACTGTTTGCCCTTGGCCTAGCGGCCTCGGGCAAACAGTTCCCCAGGGCTTGCCCCTACCTCGGGATGATAGTTTTGACTGTTCCCCAAATAGCCATGAAACAATTGTATATTGTTAATTTTAGTTATTGAGTACTAGAGTTAAGCAAGCAAATAGCTGCAGGGGAGTCACGGGGTAATTGTGGCAAAAGAATGTACAAAGAATGCAGATTTCATAATATGTCTCCTAAATAACACACACACAAACACATTTATATGCAAAGGGATTGTAATTTATTAACAAAACTCGTTAAGGGTAGATAGGTGTGTGGGAGTGTGTGTAAGGAGGGGTGAGGTTGGGGGTTGGGGTTATATAAAAATCCAATTTACTGATATAATGTTTCTAGTATAAAATAGGACATTTTAATCTAACATCGAGGACGAAGTTCGATCATTGTGCCAACGTAAATACAATGTTTCTAATGAACGTGGCCAGTGTTCTGGAATGAGTCCATTACCACTTTAACTCACGACCCTATTGAGCTTGGAAGATTAAAGTCGCGAGGATCTTACTATCCCTTTTAGAATTAACAATTACGTCAGAGCGACGGGGACATGTATAGATTTGGAGAGTAGTTGACGCCTCGTGTGGGGCCCAGACCCACTCAAAGTCAGCCAATTTAAACGTCGTTATCTCCAACAGAGCTATTTTACTGTCAGATATCCACACGCTAAACAAGTGAAGGGCAAGTAATTTATAAACGTATCTTCACCTGACAGTCAGCGGTGTACACGTGTGGGTTGTACACGTGTGGGGTGTACACCAGTTGGTGTACATGTGTGTGGTGTACACGTGTTAGTGCACATGTGTGGGGTGTACATGTGCGATGTACACATGTGCGGTATACACATGTGGGGTGTACACGAGTGGCTGTACACATGTGGGGTGTACACGAGTGGGTGTACACGTGTGGGGTGTACACGTGTGACTGTACACGTGTGTGGTGTACACGAGTGGGTGTACACGTGTGGGGTGTACATGTGCGGTGTACACATGTGGGGTGTATGTGTGTGGTGTACACGTATGTGGTGTACAAATGTTGGGTGTACACGTGGAGTGTACATGTGGGGTGTACACGTGCGTGGTGTATATGTGTGGGGTGTACACATGTATGGTGTACGCGTATCTGGTGTACATATGTCACGTGAGTTATTGTACTTGGTCTGAAGGCAAGACAGTTTATAGCAGGAACGTTAACAGAAAATGCATTAGTTTACTTTCCTCATAAATACATATAGTCTCTCTAGGTTTGCTTTAAAACGTTAATTAACATACGACACTTGACGTCGTCCCTGTACACTTACTGCCAGAACTTACAAGTTTTGTTTTAGTTGTGATAATTATAATGTACATCTGATATTAATTTTACGTTGGTATATGTACAGGCTATTTAATCTGATAAATCGGAGGTCTGTACACTGCAGTTCAGTAACAATGGTTTGTTACTTAAGGAATGTCGAGTGGTCAAACGTCAATCTCGTGATTTATCCGTCATCGGATTAACCCAATATTTTGACCAATTGGATTTTAGATTATAATTGATCCCGTTAAAGTCCTACTGTAAGTGCATTACGGCGAGGTACATGCCGCAAGCTTATACTGGGTTAATTACAAATCTGAGGTCAAACATGAATATATTTGTAAATTGTTCAACAGTGCGTAGCATGTGTGCAAAAATGTGAAAATTGTTTTCCTCCCTTTAACAGACATGGGTTTTCGTGGACATATAGTCCACCAACGCAAAAATGGCATGTTCATGCTCCCTTTAACTGTATATTAATTCACTGTTGTCGCCTCTTTGGTGAAATCGACTGATATTCCGAATGCAAAGATAAGTATGGCCTTTTTAGATAACGTAAGTATAAAAATTGACCAGTAAAAATATTTGGAAAACGCTGATACAAGTATGTGGGGACATGCATAATCGAAAACACACACGTGCACGTGGGGAATAAGATATTATCAGACTCTTTAATATGTAGACGGATAGATAGTTTCTCTCCAGAAGGGGTCACAATTTGACGATTTTACCACAATTTATGATCAATGAGGGGGTAATTCTCTATCCAACCGTCATTTCATATAAAAGAGTATCTTTCTCTCATATCCTTCCGAGTCAACGCAAACATTTTTCATTCCTTCAAACTGTGACATCGTTGTTAATATAAAAGCAAACCATTTTACTTAGAAATTAAACGTTAACTTATTGTTTTCCTTGCTGTTCGGACGCCATATTTGAACCTTACAACTACTACAATTCCATATAGTTCCTTGATATGCTTAGTATAAACGTAAGACTATATGAAAGTAACTTGTTTTTGTCGATTTTTTTTTAAACTGACCGTTTCATCAATACATAAAGAAGTTAGAGGGATAAAAAATATATCTACCGGAGTTACCTCCTCTTTGCTATCGTATCTTGAAAGGATATGAGAGAAAAACCAATTCCCTCACGAAACGAAAGAGACGAAATTTGGGTGGGGATTATTTGGGTGCATGTTGAAACCATGTTCAAAATGAGAAAAAAAGTAAATGCAAAAGAAAAAGATGTTAAAAGTAGATGAATTTGTTGAAATGTTACCAGATTGTATATAATGGGTTCAGTGCTGTCTTACCTTGTTCTATCCAAGAACATATCGACACTGAAAAAGATACAGGTTTACTTCATTTAATTTCAGTTAAAAGTTTAACGGTCTATATATCCAATAGGTCATGTAGTAACAATACCGTGTATGATATATGCGTGGCAAGAGAAACGCCGAAAGTAGAGACGACGGAAGTAAAAGTGTTGTAGAGAGGGTTTAGAAAAATGAATTTCTAGTGTCATACACACAATTAATTACAGTGCTCAGTTAATTTCGTTTTTCTGCCGATGACTGGGGTGTATCTGTGTTCCTCTAACAAATATAAGACGCATTTGACATTTTCCTTTCTTTAGCTTGAGTTTATTTTCGTCTCGTCTCGTTCCTTCTCAGCATTTCCTCTTGTCCCATTAACCCATTGTCGCAATCTTTTCTAACTTTACCTATTAAGATAATCTTTCTTTTGGTCAAACGGTCATTTATACGCTACTGATATGCTGCTAAAATTTGGGGTTGAGAGGAGGGGGTTGAGAGGAGGGGGGCGGGGGGTTGAGAGGACGGGGGTTGACAGGAGGGGGTTG